ACCAGTGCCAACACCCCCAGCAGCTCTAGCTCCAGCAGCAGCAACTCCAGCAGGACCGTCAGCACCAGCTGCCTGAGCAGCACCCCAAGACGCACCAGCACCAGTAGAAACATCAGCACCAACACCCCCAGCAGCACCACCTCCAGCAGCACCAGCACCGACAGCAGCTCCTGCAACACCCCCAGACTCAGCAGCACGTCTCCAGCGGCGGGCGAACCACTCGCGCAGCTCCTGCGGAGAGAGCGGCTCCCGCCTCGACGAAGCACCGACGGCGGCCACACGAGCAGACCCAGCACCCCCAGGCTCCGCACCCCCAGGCTCAGCACCCCCAGACTTAGCACCCCCAGGCTCAGCACCTCCGGACCCGGCACCCGCAGGCTCAGCACCTCTAGCAGCACCAGAGTCAACAGCTACCTCGACAGGCTCGACTTCGTCTACCTGGGACACACCTGACGGGGTAGGACCCTGAGGGGGAAGGGGGTCTATCGGGGGAGGACCTGGTGCAAGGAAGAGCGGCGGCGGGGGGAGAGGCGCAGTGCGGTAGGGGAAGAGATGGTAGTAAGGCACCGACTCGTCAAAGGTGACGTCCTGGGAGGACAGAACACGACGCGTGGTGGGGTGGTAAAACCGCCAGCCAGGCGCGTTAGGGGGGAAGCCAAGGAAGACGCAAGGAACAGCACGGGGAGACAGCTTGTTCGCAGACAAGTCGCGGACAAACGCCCGAGATCCCCACACCCGAAATGGAGACGCATCGCCAACCTTCCCTGTCCACCGCAAGGCGGGGGAGGTCTCTGGGGCAAGGAGACCTGGGGCTGAAGGTTGAGCTGATGCGCGGCGTACTGAACCGCAAACGGCCACAGAAAATGGGGGGCAGCCGCATGCATCATGGACGTACGCGCGACGTCCATGACCATGCCAATGCAGCGCTCAGCAATCCCATTTTTCTGTGGAGAGGCCGGAAGCGTGAAGGTCTGGCGGATGCCCTGTGCACGACAGAAGGCTCCCAGACGGGCAGAGGAAAACTCCCCGCCTCTGTCCGAGTGCAGACGCAGAACAGGAAAGTCGGAGCCGAAACTCTCTCTGAGTTGGAGACAAGCTGCGCGGATCCAGTCGATCAACACCTCAGTGACGTCACCCTTGCTGCGCAAGGGGAACACCGTGGTGTAACGCAAGTAATCGTCAACCACCAACAGGAAGTAACGCTCGTGACCCTGGCCACGGACGCGGGCGGGGCCCCACACGTCCATGTGAAGAGTCTGCAGCGGAGCCTCTGTCGGAGGAAACTCGGAGGAGTGAGGGGCGGCGCGCTATCGCCCCTCAACGAAGGGGACGCAGGTAGGGCTAGGCCCCGGAGGAAGGGGAGGGAGAGACTGAGGAAGACGAGAGACTAGGACACGGGAGGCCATGCCTCGGAGACGAGGCAAGGAGGGGTGACCAAGGCGGTGGTGCCAAAGGAGAGTTTGGTGGGACAGCAGACGACACGAGCAGGGTGCAGACTCAGGACCAGACCTGGACGCCGCAGCAAACACCTGACTTGACGCAGCTACCTGGGCAGACTCAGCAGTAGGAGGAGACTCAGCAGTAAGGGTGTACAGGCTCGACCCTGGCCGACGGGTAAACGTGGCCAAGTGTCGGCCTGTCTGAGCAGACGTGCAGTGGGTCACTCGCTGACTCGCAGGAGTGAACTGCTCAACCCCTCGATCTTGTAGGTCCGCTCCACTCACCAAGTTTGTAGAGAACTAGGGGAGGTAGAGACCAGACAGGGTGCCAGAGGGGGCTGCAAGGCACGGAAGGACAGTGGAGAAGCTAGCAAGGACAGGACCCCCAGAGGGGTCTGCCAGGGAGACTGCAACCGGCCGACTAAGCGGCGTAAGAGTGGTGCGGTCTGGAAAGAAGGAGTGGGACGCACCCGAGTCCAGGGTGAAGGTGTGGGAGGCCTGAGCCGACGTAGTACTTGAGAGAGCAGACTCACCAGCACCTGGGGCGGCAGACGCACTGGCACCTGGAGCAGCAGCCTCACCAGCACCTAGCGCAGCAGCCTCTATGCCCGGGTCATGCGGTACACACAGGTAACCGGTACCCTCAACACTATTAGCAACAGCATACATGGCAGCAAGAATAGCATCAAAGTCAAGATCAAAGATAACAACCCCGGCCTTAGCCAAATCTCCCCAGCGAGGGATCTCTGACGCCTCAGGGAACTCGCGACGCCACGCGTCCGTCAAGCGACTGAAGCAGCGCTGGGTGGAGTGCGGACCTCCGCACTGCTCACCAGTGTGGTCGCCGGTATGGAGAATGTAAGAGCAGGGACCAAAACCCCCACCGCACTGGCGTGCAGTGTACCACTCACCAAGCTGCTGAGGGGACATGGTCACACCACTCCGCTGCTGCTGCTGGCGCTGACCACCACCGGCGCCACTCCTCGGCGCAGAGTCGCGACTCGCTCCACCACCGCCGCCTCCGCCGCCGCCGCCTCCGCCGCCTCCGCCGCCTCCTCCACCTCCGCCTCCTCCACTACCTCCGCCGCCTCCGCTCCCTCCACCACCCACACCGCCTCCGCCGCCTCCACTACTGCCGCCGCCGCCACCACCCCCGGCACCACTCCCACCACCACCCCCACTCCCTCCACCGCCTCCACCACCACCTCCACCGCCCCCTCCAGCCCCTCCAGTGCCCTTGCCCCCCTTGCCCTTGCCGGTGCGGCGTCTCCCGCTCGGGGCAGACGTAGCGCCGACCGACTCGAAGTAGAGGCAACAGAGGGAAAGAGGGGGGAGGGAGAACACCCCTCAAAGACGGGGGTGCGAGGGTCACCACGAGAGGCTCCTACAGCGACTATGCTCTTCTCTATCGCTAGGAGGCCCTTCTCGAGGAGGTCAACGGTGAGAGTGGTGGGGCAAACAGAGAGGAAGTGGTCCTTGACTACCCGAAGAGAGTCAGGGAGCCGCGTGACTATGTAGTAGAGGGTGATGTACATGGGGGGGGGGGGTCTTGGCGCAGAACTCAGCAGGAAGCGCAGCGCGGTAGCGAGTGTCACTAGTGCAGAGGTGCGTAATAAGGTCAGCGACAGTGGCAAAGGCAGCAAGGTCAGGGAAGAGGTACGGTAGCATGAGGCGGCTCAGTGCAGCAGTGGCAGGGGAAGAGTAGCGTGCAACTACAGCGTCATACAAGGTTTGAGCACTCTTGTACTGGCTAAAGTGTGCACGCTCAGTGGTCGGTAAGTGGCGGCGCACAGCAAGGCGAGCAGCAGCATCACTTGTGGCCCACTGTGAGCGAACAGTGGCGTCAGCATCAGCAGCAGGGGCAGGGGAGGCACCAGAAGTGAGGTCAAACAGGGAGAGGCCGTCTGCCCTATCGCACTGCAAAAAAAGCTGCAGATCATCTACCCAGACCTCAAAGTCCACTGCCCGACCCTCAGCGTCAAAGGTGAGAACGCTAGGGGAAGCCATAACAACAGTAGGCAAGTAGTGAGGGCAGTGAGGCTGGGCAGTGCAGTGGCAGAGACTGGGCACTTACCAGGCAGGTGGGGCGATCGGGCTGCTCGGCGTCTTGGCTGTCGGGCGGCTCGGCTGCAGGGCGGCTCGGCTGCTGGGCGGCTCGGCTGCTAGTGCTGGGCGGCTCGGCCGTCGGGCGGCTCGGCTGCTGGGCGGCTCGGCTGCTAGGCGGCTCGGCTGCTGGGCGGCTTGGCGGTCGGGCGGCTCGGCTGCTGGGCGGCTCGGCTGCCTGGCGGCTCGGTTGCTGGCGGCTCGGGCGGTCGGGTGGCTCAGCTGCTCGGCGCTGCGGGCGCTGGGCGGCGGGGTCGCAGAAGGCGGCTGGCCGCAAGGGTGGGCGCGGCTGCGGTGGCGACGGGACGGGGCCGTAGCAGGGGCCTAAGAGGGGCCGTAGCAGGGCCGACGGGGTCGTAGCGGGGCCGATGCGGGGCCTAAGTGGGGCCGACGGGGCCGAAGTGGGGCCTAGGGGGGGCCGTAGCGGGGCCGACGGGGCCTAAACAGGGCCGAAGCGAGGCCGTAGTGGGGCCTAAGCGGGGCGGACGGGGCTGTAGCGGGGCCTTCGGGGCCTAAGCGGGGCCGACGGGGCCGTAGCGGGGCCGTAGCGGGGCCGTAACGGGGCCGACGGGGCCGTAGCGGGGCCGTAGCGGGCGGCTCAAGGGGCAGTAAGGGCAGCCAAAAGGGGCCACTAAGGCGGCTCGGGGCGCTACTCGGGCTAGGAGCTAAGCGCACTCCGGGCAGAGAAGGAAAAAAAATACGTGGTGGGCCCTAGGCAGTATTCCCACTCGGGAACCTGCTCGATACCATGACGAGAAGTGAGAATGGAATGAATGAACTATGAAAGAGTTGGGTACAAGTACTAACCCTAATTGGGTTGTACCCCATATGGGCTACCCCACTACAGCCTACACAAATGTATAAGCTATAATGTTCTGACACTCACCATTCCTCTCCAGCACGCTGGTCACCCAGGGAAGCCGTCTCCCGCCCTCCCAACACTGAACGCCAAATCTGTCATTGCCCTCCTCTTCCCCTGCATCCCTCCTCCCACCTCTGCTAACCTTCATCACCTCCTCCATGACCCGAATCTCATTGATACTCATTTTAAGGAAGTACCCCCCAGTCACCTCCAGTCTCAGCAGCTCATGCAGCCGGAATACATCACTCCCAAAGTCATCCGTCTGAAGCTCTTTCACGCGCGGGGGCAGCACAAACTTTGGCCTCATCCTCCCATGATGTGCGATGATGGTTTTGTTCTGACGCCCCCAATGCACCACCAGGCGACGCACCGAGTGCAGCTGTGGCAGGAAATCCATGGGGACGGTGAGATTGTGGTTTATTACGAGGGCAAGTTCGCACAGCAAGGGGAGCTCTGGCAGGCAATGAGGGAGTGAGTTGAGCCCATGGCAGCGGATGATGACCAAACGGTGCAGGGAGGAGAGGCAGGAGAAGGAGGGCGGTAGCTTGTGCAGCAGAGGAAGGTCGTGCAGCCATAGCTCGCTAAGGCGTGGAAAGTTAAAGGAAAAAGGGTGTGCGTGCAGAGACATTTATAGCAAGGAGAGGGCAGTTGTCGATGGCAAGTATGGAGAGACGAGGGGAGGAGGTAGAGGGGTTGAGGAGCGAGGATGGGCTTGTGAGTGCTGTGAGACTATGGAGGTTGGCGCACTGGTCTATAACAAGAACAGAGAGCGATGGGCAGTGCGCACGCAGTGGGTCGCAGATGGATGTGAGGTCGGGAAGACTGTGAAGCTTTAAGGTGTGCAGGCTAGCAGGAGGAGTGAGGAGCGAGGAGAACCGTGGGCAGTTCTTGATGGAGAGGATGGTGAGAGACGGGCAGGCGGCAGGTAGGGAAAGGCAGGCGGGCAGGTGGGAAAGTTTGGGAAGGTTGCGTAGCACGAGATGTTGCAAGCTGGGCATGCGGATGGGAGGCTCAAGCATTGACTTGGTTGGCTCGGAGTTGACACTGCAAGTAGCAGAAAGGTACTCGCCTGGATAGCCGTCCAGCACAAGGTGCTTCAGTGAGTGGTGCTGGAGGATGCCACGTGGTAGGTGCTGCATGGCTGGCACGTCAGCAAGCTCCAGGTGTTGCAGTTTGGAAAAGAACAGGGGCTGGCGTGGCTGTGCTGCTGCAGAGACAGTGGCGACACCACCCTGCTTACTCGGCTGCTGCTGCTTTTGCTGCTGCTGCTGAACCTTGCCGTGGTAGAGGTGGAGATTCTTCCATTGCCGTCGCTGACGCCTTCGCCACCCATGCGGCCGTTGCTGCCCGCAGCTTGCCTCCACATCCTCCCCATCACTCGCACCCCCCGATACCGCCAAAACAACCACGTCAGCATCGTCGCTGCGTTTGATGTCATTCCTTGGGCCTTCCTCCAACTCTCGCACCCCAACCCTCCCAACAGAAGGCACAGCCGGCAACCCACGACCATCCGTATCCGGGTGCGTCCAAGCATCAAGTGTGGCAAGATAGCATCCTTCCACGCTAATTCGCTGCAGCGACGGCAGCAGCGCAAGAGATGTCGGAAGCCAGCGCAGTGCCAAGCAGTCCCTCACAACCAGCTCTTGCCGACACATCAGCCGCCCAAGGCTCTTTTCATAGAGACGTGTCAGCCCCTCCCCTGCGCCGCGAAACTCTAAGCACAACAGGGAGGAGGCCAACGGGGAGAGCCTTGGGATTGCGGCAACGCCAACGAGCGATAGTGACGTCAGCTGCGGCAGCAGCTTTGCCAGGCGAGAGATCAGCCAATCACTGATGGCCCCTCTGCTGCTGCTGCTGCTGTTGCTGCAGCAAGAGCCCACGTGTAGCGTGACGAAGCGCAGGTGGGGAAAGGCGGAGAGGGTACGCAGGAGAGGGCGGGGGCGCAAGAGAAGGCTGGGCGGGACAGTGATGGCGGGGGGGAGAAGCGCGGAGAGGCGCAGCCAGCGGCGGGAGACGAGCGCGCAGGTGAGCAACGGGGGGTTGGGGGCGATGGCGATGCTCTCTGTGTTGCAGCGGCAGGTGCATGTGGGGTCCTTACATCGCAGCTGCTGCTGTTGCTTATATGTAACAAGACGTAGGCGAAATCGTCATCCGCGATATCGCCAACTCAGCAGCTTGTGATCCGAATCTAATTTCGGAACACGCCCTAAGAACATTAGGGAAATTCGAGGTTGGAACTCAACCTCGAATTGTGCGACTCGTAATTCTGAAATTCCAACTGTGGGAACAACTCCAGAGAGCACGCTACTGCTCGACACAACGGGGCAGAGAACTCCAACAGCGCAGCAAAGTATTTTACAGCACAAGCAAGCATAGTTTCCTACAGCCATGGCTACTTCCAACAGAGCTCGTGGTCATCATTATCAACGACAGCATGGATGACAACAAGACAAATAATCTCTGCCCATTACCTTAGTGAATTCCTAGGCTTTGCTAATTGGTTATAGGATATGACAACAAGGCTAGTATCTCTTGTACATAATCATAGTGACTATGCCTTGCTGTTCTTAGCTCTAGGAGTATGAAAGGCGACCTGAGCGACCTGCTCGAGGCGCCATAGCTAGTATCCTAGTATAATAGGATGAATTGTTAAGATAGGAGCTAAAGGCTAAGAAGCCATTGCTAGGTTTTAGGGTATATGAAAGAGAAATAGGAGAAGAGGATTTGAACTAGAAAGGAGGGGGATACAAGTAGCAAGCCTAAAAGGGTTACACTCACTTTTGAGTACCCCACTACAGACTAGACAAGCATTATAATCTGACACACCCCCATAGTCAAAGTGGGGTATAATCAGTACAGCATGCATGCATAGAGCAAGAGTTCACAATGATAAGCAAAGCTAGAAGCTATCACAAAGAGCAAGTGAGGAGGAGGAGAGACTGTGGAGGGAGAGAAGATGCGAGGCAACGACTGAAGCTGCAGAGGCACGGGCACAGGAGCGGCTGACTCAATGGCTACCGAAGCAAGGGCGACGGACTACTGGAGTGACTAGCTCCGCGGCTATAGACGAGCGGCAGGAGCAACGGACCCACTGGCGACTGGTGCAACAGGCTCACTGGCTACCGAAGCAAGGGCGACGGACTACAGGCGCTGCAGGCGACACGACAGCTACCTTCACACAACCTCCCCCAGCTGCCCCACTCCCCTCTCACACACCCCCTGTTCAAACCCTAGCTCCACTCCCACAGTACCCCCCTTAAACCCTAAACCCTAGGCTCCCACACACCCACCCCCCTTAGCGACAGCTGCAGCAGTGGGAGACAAGGGAGGAGGAGGAGCAAGGGGAGGAACACATAACCGCCACCCCCACACCCGCCACCCCCATGCTCGGCACCCCACACCCCCAGCACCACGGAATGCACGGGGGGGGGGGGGGGGGGGGGGGGGGGGAACGAGACGGGCTGCAGGTGTGGGCTGCTACAGGGGTGGCCGCTGTAGGTGCGGGCTGCTCCAGGGGCGGCTGCTGCAGTTGCTGGCTGCTCCAGGGGCGGGTGCTGCAGGTGAGGGCTGCTCCAGGGGCGGCTGCTGCAGGTGCGGGCTGCTCCAGGGGCGGCTGCTGCAGTTGCGGGCTGCTCGAGGGGCGGCTGCTGCAGGTGAAAAGTAGGAGGGAGGGGAGGGGAAGGGCGTGGCCCCCAGGGCGCCCTGACGGGCGACGAGCTAGGGAGCCGCACGGGCCCTCGAGAGCGCCTCGACGGGCGACGGGAAGGGACCGCGCGCGGGCCCCCAAGGCGCCGCGACGAGGCGACGGTTGGGGCCGGCGCGCGGCCCCCAAGGCGCCGCGACGAGGCGACGGGAGGGGCCGGCTCGCGGGCCTCGAAAGCGCCGCGACGAGGCGACGGGAGAGGCCTGCGTGCGGGCCCCCAAAACGCCGCGACGAGGCGACGGTCGGGGCCGGCGCGCGGGCCCCCAAGACGCCGCGACGAGGTGACGGGAGGGGCCGGCGCGCGGACCCGCAGGGCACCGGGGGCGAACCCAAGAAGGGGGCGAACCTGAGAAGGGGTGAACCTGAGAAGGGGGCGAACCTGAGAAGGGGGCGGACCTGAGAAGGGGGCGGACCTGAGAAGGGGCGAACCTGAGAAGGGGGCGAACCTGAGAAGGGGCGAACCTGAGAAGGGGGCGAACCTGAGAAGGGGGCGAACTTGAGAAGGGGCGAACCTGAGAAGGGGGCGAACCTGAGAAGGGGGCGAACCTGAGAAGGGGGCGAACCTGAGAAGGGGGCGAACCTGAGAAGGGGGCGAACCTGAGAAGGGGGCGAACCCGAGAAGGGGGCGAACCGGAGAAGGGGGCGAACCCGAGAAGGGGGCGAACCCGAGAAGGGGGCGAACCCGAGAAGGGGGCGAACCCGAGAAGGGGGCGAACCCGAGAAGGGGGCGAACTGAGAAGGGGGCGAACTGAGAAGGGGGCGAACCTGAGAAGGGGGCGAGCCTGCGATCGCGAGTGGTGATGGTTATGCCGTTAGGGCACGACTCTGCTGAAAAGGGAGGGGCGCTGCTTGCGTGGATTGCGGTCGTCGCTCCATGAACGGCTTTGCTGCTGCTGATGACGTGGTGGAGGATGTTCAGAAGTACGGCATCGGGCAGCCCGTCAATGTTGCACGAACACGCGATGCAAGCTGTAGCCGCACGATTCGACGCAATGGCAGGCGTACGATCAGACAGATTGCGACGGATGGTGACGCAAGGAGTGGGTGAGAGCGGTGATGTGTAGCGGCTGCGCGACTCGTCTATTGATGATAGTTGGAATGGTCAAGGCTGGAAGGATGGATTGACGAATATGCTAGGAACTGCTATCGTCGCTGCGAATCTACAACCTGTTGGAAACAAGTAACTTAAGCGCCTCTGTCGTGTCGAAACACCAAGTCAGCAGCGAAGCGAAACATATCGAATCATCAGCGAGTCAACCCTCGGAGGTTGAACAACTACTGGAGGTTACGCGAAAGTCAAAGGTCAATGACATTTGACCTGACAAGTACAGCGCGACAGCAAGGACAAACATCACAAGGCATGGCAACGCAGAAGGAGAGAAGCTCCTCTAACGGCTCTTCCGGTACGACTCCTACTCCACTTCCTGCCTCTGGTCTACAGACAGAGGAGGGTACAGCAACAAGACCGGCAGCTGGGTCTACCGAAACTCCCGCAAATCAAGTCGCGGCCTTCAACCTAGACATGATGGAGAATTTTTTCTCCTTCATGTCCTTCTACGAACAACACAAGCAAGGGGCACCTGCGCAGCCAAACAACAGCAACGACAACAACGCAACACCGATGAGCCTCGACAGTTCATCCTATGCACGAGGAAATCAACAACAATAACCTACTTTCGCCCCGTACGAACCTCAGCGCGGTTCCGTCAGCTTCATGCCGCGCCAGCAACCTTCACCTGAGCAAGAGAAGACACTAGATGCACTTCAAGTTCAATCGCAGTTCGCGCACGTCTTTAAACTGCAGACGTCAAGACCATTCGACGGAAAGGAATTTTTTACCTGGTCGTTCGAGTTCGAACTAATGATGGAAGGCGCGCAGATTCTTGGCTTCTTCGACGGGTCCCTTCCATATCCAACATACGGCACACAGTACGACAAGCAGCAGTACACGTACCAGTCAATGATGGCGTACACAATCCTACTGGGGAACATCACTCCAAATCAGCAGCAGAATATACGATCTTACCGGGGATACGGCAACTCCGCTGAGCTCGCGTACAACCACCTGAAGAACCTGTATCAGGCAACAGACAGCGTCAATCAGAGTCGGTCGATGGCGCAACTGACAACAGTGGAAATGAAACCGGGCAAAAAAGGGATGGCATAAATCAGCCGATATCGCGAGCTGCGCGACAAATTCCTTCGATGCGGAGGGTCGATATCAGAAGACGCCTTCGTCACAGTCGTCATTGGCGGTCTTGGTCCTCATTGGCGCTCCACTCGCGCCATACTCCGAGCTCACGGGAAGATCTCCGAAGCAGCACTATGCGCCAAAATTCACGCTGAGCAGCAAGACATGGACCTGCAAGAAGAGCGACACAAGAGGAAAACGTCAGTACCTGAATTTGCGTTTCACACTCAACGGCGCTACAACAACAATAACAACCGGCATCAACCAGAACCCGTACCTCCATTCTGTCATCTCTGCAAGACTTCAGGACACCCTCGCACACACTGCCCGAATCGAGAGTAGTCAACGCCGCAACGCCAACTTCGTCCCTCAAGCAGTCAAGTGGCGTCCACGCAACACACCCCACGAATCAACTGCAGCCTTCAACGACGTCGTCTGCACAATCTGCACAAGGAGCAAGAAACATTGTGAGTTGCATGGAAAAACTGACTGACTCCTGCATCACCGAGTCACCACCGCACTACTCACCGGAAGAGCAACTCGACAACAGCACCCCTCGCCGCGAGTCACTTCAACCAAACCCGACGTATGCAGCCATCGCTCAAAGCGAGCAGTCTGGGAAAGATACGTGGTTCTTGGATAGTTGCTGCTGACAGCACATGTGCTCTTCAGGACGCTTTGTTCAACGCAAACACCAACTTCAACGCGAAGTCGTCATCACCGTCGCCAACAATCAGAACCTGCGCACACGACGACAAGGTGTGGTGCAACTTCAATCACGAGAGACAAACGTAATACTGCAAATGTCAAAAGTGTTAATTGCGGAGGGATTCGGCTACAACTTACTGAGCGCCAGTCAGCTGATGGCGAAAGGCATCCATCTCGAAGTAGACAGCACAACACAGGAGTTCAAGTTATACCACGGAAAGGGCGGTCTCTACATCGAGAAGACGGTCCTGAAAAATAGCGTCGTCGTCCTCGACTTCGTCCCAGATCTCGACACCGCTGACAGCGACGGGATCGTCACCTTCACCTCCTGGACACACCCACCGGATCTTGATCCCAACTTCAGTCCCGAAGGATTCTGGTACTCGCACACCATCCCTGAAGCAGAACGAATAAGAGCATTAGCAACAATTCAATCGGCAGCAGCAGAGACAACATCGGCAGCAGCAGAGACAACATCGGCAG